TTGCTTTGCTTCTTCATTCTCCTATGTGTATCTCTGTATATATATATAAAACTGGCTCCCTCTTTTTTCCCCTTCTTTTTTTGGGAGGGCTAGTGCATAGTGCAGGTTAGGGACTAGAGAAGTGAGAAGAGTTTGTGACTTATATGAAGAATTTTGGTAGGGTGTTGCTCCCTGTGAATAATTTTCAGCTTTGTGTGTCCAATGCTAGTATATACTCTTTCTGTTATTTATTTTACATGAGTTTTGACTGTGTCCCTATGTTTTGCCCAAAGAATTACTTCTGGTTATAACAGCATCCACAGATCCAGTCTTATAACACTTCTATATGGTAGTCCTTGCAGTTACACTTCCCCTCTTTGTTTATTCTCTATGCACACTGTGACAGTTTATTATCTGTGGTTGCTCTGAAGTGAGGTAGGTGAGGTGAGGTGGGGTGGGTAGAATGGGAGTTGGTTGGATGAGGAGTGTTAGACACTAAAGAGGAGGTTTGAAGGAGGAACAGTGGTAGATGAGAAGGAAAGGTTGATGTGGGGTCTGATTTTATTAGAGTATTTACAGTTGAGTTGAAGGGTTTGCATTGAGAGGTTTCAGAGGATATTTTGTTGGGGCAAGGGCGAGGTATAGGAGAAAGGAGGTTCACTTTGAGATTGTGGAAATCTATGTGGTTATCAGAACCTGCTGGTAGGGAGGACAATAGGCTAAGTAAGATATGGAAGAGCCAAAGGCTTAGGATGGGAAGGGTAGAGGAATAATACTAGAGAAGACAGGAGCAACTGTGAAGGAGTTATGTATGAATAATTAAAAAATTTGGGAGGAGGAGTTTATGTGCTTGGAAAAAGAATAAAGAAATATGTTAATAAATAATATTGTCTCAGGGGTTTGAGGTGAAGAAACTAGATAGGAATCTGAGACGAGGAGAAGAACCTATTAAATCAGAGCCAATGAAAGTATCAACCTTATAAACACAGGAAGCCATAAAAGAACGTAACATAACACCACATTACTAAATAAATCAAGAAACATACCAACATTTAAACCTATAACATGTGTGATAGGAACACAGATTAAATATTCCAATGAGACTTTGCATATGTGATTCCCAAGTAGCTTCTTTGCCAGAGTCTGAGTGCTCACACTCCATTAGCTCCTCTGACTCCTCCACTGCAAAACTGAAGCTAACTCAGACTCAGGACCTCTTTCTGCCAGGTTACAGGCATTCTTGCAGTTTGATACAGTCTGAGTTCTTGGGTTAGGAACTCTTGCTGTCCCTCTCTCCCTAGGTGTGATGGTGGATTTGGCAGACAGGTTCACTGGCATCAAATTGTCCACTGAGTCAGGATTGTTTCTATGCAATCAAATCAGCTGCAGTAGTAACAGGCTATTCTATTACAGTGGGACCTATCAGGGCTAGTTGAGAAATAACATACCACAAGATTCTTTTTTGGGTTTCTCTTTAGCCAACCATGGACTGTGGAAGTTCACTCTGGAAGCAGTGTCCCGTGTTTTCCTTGCTGGTTCCAAGTGCCAATGAAAGAATCATTGAAATGAAAGAATCATTTCCAATGCAGTTGTCTGTGAGCAAAAAAAAAAAAAAAATGTTAGTTTCATTTTGCCTCCCAGCTTTTCGCTTGCCAGTCCTTGTTGGCGGCACTGCGTGGTCTCTTCTCCACAATGTGGAGGTAGAAGGAAGGAGAAGAGAGGAAGAGGAAGTAGAAAGAATTAAGATGTGTTATGTGCATGGACCAACTCCCCATAGTAAATGTACTCATTATTACTCCAAACATGTACTAACAAACATAATAATTAAAGAAGAACGAGAACTTAAAGCCCCAAAGAAAAACTGCACTACGGCAGATTTTGAAAAACACATCCTTTGAATCTTCTTGGGCTGCTCCGTGCAGTAGGACCGAGTGACTGCTCTCTAAAGCAGCGTTGGAGGGCTCAGCACGCAGAGCCAGTTCTGCAACAATGACTGAAAAAGACAGGACTTGAGCCTGGGAAAACAGACAATTCCAAATCATCGGAGAAGAAGTGGCCCTCCTAGGTTTGAAAGGTTTTGTGCTAGAAAAATTGCAGGCTGGAACAACAAGAGGTTTCAGCACCTGGACCAACTTTGATTGGATGTGACTCAGGGGCAGAGTCTTTTTTTTTTCAAATTCTTTTATTGGTACATTTTAGGTATACAATATGTTTACATTTATCTTTGGGTGCTTGTACCTGTACATGATGTATCTTGGTTCTTATTTTACCCCCATTCCCTGTCCTCCCTTCACCCCCTCCACCCTTCCCTACTTACATAGATTTCATTTCCATTTTTTTCTTTTCTCATAATTTTTCCTTTCCCTTCTTTCCTTTCCCCTTCCTCTCCCACCACTCCTACACCTTTGGGTCTTTTCCTATTTCAAATTATCAATTATTCATTTTAATCCTTTTAATCCTTATTTACACTTTCAGTTTCTCACACTAGAGAAACTATTTGGTATTTACACATGTGTGTCCTATTTATTTCACTTAAGAGTATCGCCTCAATGTACATCCATTTAGCTATAAATGTCTCTAGGTTCTCATTCTTTATGGCTGAGTAGTACTCCATTTTATAAGAAAACCACATCTTCTTTATCCAGTCTCCAGGTGATGGGCACTTGGGCTGTTTCCAAGCTTTAGCTATTACGAACGGTGCCACTATAAACATGAGTCTTATACTCCATGAGTAAGGTGAGCCTTAGACGTCTAAGTGAGGGGGTGCAGAAGCACTGGCTTCTGTGGACACTGTCCCTGGTAGGGAATGGTTGTCACCTTGCGTCTGCAGCATGTGGTCATTCTTTTTTCTTACCTAACCTGGGCCAGTTTCACTGAGCATCCAGACACACAGTGAGGGCTCCCAGAAGTTAGTAAGATTACTGTTCTCCTATGGCCTGTGGTAAGACACCATATTTCTCTATAATCACAGCTCAAACACATGTAGTCCAATGTTATCCCCATACTAGTATTTAAAATGCACGAAAATCCTCTGGTAAATAGCTGTTGTTAAACAGTTAAAATAATTCAGCTTCCATCCTCCTATTCACTAGTGGTGAGCAACATTATAAATAAAATCAACAAAAGTTGACGATTTCTCTCCCAGGTTCTAAGGTAACAACCTGGAAACTCTTTATTGTCATTCTTGAACATAAATTTGAATATCGAAAGCCTCATCCCTTTGGAATTTAAATGTAAATAAATTGTACTGTGAAGATTTTACTAGGAAAGAATAGCAATAGCATCCAGTTTTCGCATCATGCCTTCTGTCTAACTCCTTATCAGTCTATACTGAGAGTAAATTTCTCACTCTAAATCAAATATATTTATCATTCTTTAAGACTTTCTTAATAGAGTAGTGAAGAATTTGTATGTTTTTGACCTTCTCAGTTAATTCTACAATAGAGATGGAGGGCAATTTGGCAGTATTTATGCAATTTAAAATGAGAAGCTTCTTTTTTAAATTAAAACTTGCATGAGATAATTATAGATTCATATAGTTCCAAAAAATTGTACAGAGAGATCCCCTGTATTCTCAGGTCAGTTTCCCCTATGGCAACCTTTTGAAAAATATAGTATCATATCATAACTGGAAATCAACATTCATACAATCTACTCATCTTACTCAAACTTCACCAGTTTTACTTCTACTCATTTATGAGTTTTTGTGTCTTTTTATACAATTTATCACATGTGTAAGAACATACCTTTTGTTTAGCATTTCTACTATTAGAAATCTCTCCTACAGAAATATTTGAATATGTTTACAAAGCCACATGTACAAAAATATGAACTGCAGTAGTTCACATCAAAAGAAATGATAACATTCTGCTTGCATCATTTGGAGAATAAGTAAATATTTTGGGCACAATATGGATCGCAGCAGTGAAAGAATAAAGAAGCATAGCCATATAAGCTGAAATGGAAAGATTTTCCATACAAACTAAGTGTAAAAAGAATAGAATAATATGATAACTATATTTAAATGAAAATATAAAGAGATACATATATGCATACAGAAATACATTTTAAAATATAAACGATACTCCTCAAACTGTTAATGATGGTTACCAAATGTTTTAGCTGAAGATCCATTAATCTAAAAAAGTGATACTACATCTTTGGCATTAAAACAAATCCACAATTATTTCCTCACCAGACAATGCTTAAAGAGTAACTCAGAGCCTTCCCCAATAAGGATGGAAAAATCATCTTTCATCTTGCAGATGGGAGTAGTGGGAGTCTAAAGGTTCCATCAGCCTGAACCAGCCTGTGGTAGAAAGTGGAAACTGGAAATTGAAAAGCCGTATTTACAGAAAGTTCGAATATTTTGTATAGGTAAACTGACTAAACCTTGACAAAATACCATTTGTTTATAATTAACAGTTGAAAGATAGGTCTCTTTCACACCCCATGCCACCTTGCAATCCATTTTTCCAATTGCAACTACTCATTATTTATTTTGAAGTTAAAGCAAAATATGTAGAGCAAGAGTGTAATGGGACAATGAATAAAATCCTTGTGGCTGAAAGGAAGAAAACAGAAGTTCTTTCCAAATGGTGCATTTTTGCAACATATAGATGCATTTGTCCATAAGACACTCCTAGCAAAATTGAAACCACATGTGTAGATGGCCAGGGCGTGCTGTGCATGTAACTGTGCAAGAAATTCAGCAAGCCTGCAGCACAACCAGCTTCCTCAGCTCTTGGGGACTGGGGCTAGCTTTCACGTCATGAAGCTTCCAAGTAGCAAAGAGAGTTCAGCAGGGTGACCAACTTTGCAGCAAACGAGGAGTTGTTTCCTTCACCCCCACTCTGCTCCCTTCGTCCTCTAAAAGTTAAAAACTGTGAGTTTCCTTCCTGATAAACTCCAAGGCTTCCTCACTGATTGGTCTTAGTTTTATAAAGGATATGACATCAGCAACTTAGCAGACTTGAGGCTGGGGGGCTGTTGTGGGCTTTGGCCAGCCTCCAGCTAGCTGAGTGGGGTGTGTGTGTGTGTGTGTGTGTGTGTGTGTGTGTGTATGTGTGTGTCTGACCACAGGTGGTACTCAGATTACCCTCCCTGTACTGTTCTCTGTTGCAGACTGTCTGACCACCACGTGTGTAATTCAGCCAGCCACAGAACTGGAATTTCCCAGGGGCAAGAGAAGCACGGAATTTGGACTTTCTTAAGCAACTGAAGTAGAGCGTGGAACTTGCTGGCCCAGGAAACACCATGGACAATGAACAAGAAGGCAGTAATACCAGCAAGCCCCTGTGGCTAGGAGGCTTTCTTGACACCAGGAGATTCTCGAACTCTTTGATGAAGGGTGAGTTCTAGGGGCTGTGAAATCACAGTGGTGGGGTGGGTGACTAATGTGCTTAGGAGAGAGGAGAACTGGACAATTTCAGTGGGTCTGTCTGAGGTATGTCCATGCGGCAGTCACTGGAAAGATGTCCACAGCTTGCTGATATACATTCTTTACACAGATGTTGAAAAATGTGTACATCTCTACATTTTTTGCAGAATCCCATAGATGATACAGATTTGTCACAGATAATTTATCAAGTAAAAACTTCAGCTCCAGCGAATCATTGTTTGTGGGTCAAATGCATTATTTACCAAATTGGAGGTTTCCAAGTTACTTATAAATAGGAAAATTTTAAATTAGGAGTTCTTTCATGAAAAACCCTTAGGTATTTGCAATCTATATTAGGGCTGGGTTTATAAATGATGTTCAAACTCCAGGCACTAATTGATTCGCTTACAAAGAAGTCAAAGAAGTATCTTACTGCCAGGTGATGTCTTTGCTAAAGGATGGAGTCTCACACATATGAGCAATGTTACTCTTGTGCAAAGATTCAGCAGGTGCTTGCTGACTGAAAGGATTCTGAAAAATGGGTCTAAGCATTTGAGGAGAAAGTAGTACATTCATTACTCTGGTACAACACTTCATGACCAGAGGGACAACAAACAGGAATGCTGAAGTCAGCTATTACACAGGTATCACAAGGGGAAAAATGCCGGGGATTTAGCTCAGTGGTTCCGCCACCTGCCTCGCAAGCTCAAGGTCTCAAGTTCGATCCCTGGTACAAAAAAAAAGGGGGGTGGGGGATAACAAGAAATTAAATGGCTTCCCTGTGACTGGTTGAGCAGGCAATGCTGCTCATTCACTCACTTATTTATCCAATTTTGCTTATAAAAAGAGCAGGACACCCAATGATGAGTAGGATTTGGACCCACAAAGGCAGAACCGAGTTAATAAGTAGGTATATTGAACACAAATTGAGAGTACCAAGAGAGCAGGGTGACACTAAAAATCACTTTTTAAAAAGAATTTAGCAAATATATTTTAAGCAGTAAACCAATCACTATATGAAAGAATCGATAATTTGCTTGATAGCTACACAATTCTCTGATAGCTAAGCATTATGTTTCTTTTCGTTTCCGCATGGGAGAGGGGACCCAGCCACTTTTCACAGTCCAGGGTTTCTTAAGGTCTTAATCCAACCCCGGTTGTAACAGGACTGGTGGGTGGACATGGGTAGGTGTTCTACTCAGAGATATGTTGATTAGAAAGTGAACAAGTTACCTCACAGGTAGAATGCAGAGCGTCTTGGGGAGTCTTGTGGGGACAAGTTTGGGGTGATAGAAACAGATGACGAAACTTTAAAAACTAGGCAGAGGAGTTTAAGCTTTATGAGTGAGGGAATTGGCAGCCATTAATGTTTCTGGTCCGGAGACCTGAGGATAATGAAGGGTGTGAGTAAATTAGCCCCTAGTAGCCCCAGTCAGAAGGATTGTGGTGGCATTATAGGAGATTGTTGCACTAAACCACTGTTCTAAAATTCTCCTGTGCCTCAACATCACCTGGAGGGGTTGCTAAAATGAAAACGATGCAATGTGTGATGAAATGGTGGGTCTGGGGTTGAGGCCCGGAGCCTTCATTCACAGCAGGCTCCCAAGTAACACTGATGGTGATGATCAGGGTCCATACTTTGGAAACCATGACACTAGTCAAAGCATCAAGTGTACGTCTGGATCAAATCTAGGAAATGACAGGATGATAATTTGAAAGGAAATAGACATCAGGTGTACTCATTGATTACATATTAAGGTTAAAAGAGAGAAGGTGGCCCAAATGGTAAAGTTCTAAAGCTCAAATTAATGTTGAGTAGGAGAGCTAGATAAGAAGGAATTTGGGGAGGACAGTAACTGGGAGTAGAGTGAGGAAGGGAGGATGTGGAGTTTTGTTTTGAAATGAAAAATACCAGTGACTGTGCCCGTGGATAACGTGATGATATGGGACTGAGACTGGGGCCAAATGCCAGTTGGGAGTTGCTGACTGCAGAGTGCTCTGCAGAGAGTCTATGGTGAAACTCATCAAAAGGAGAAATTTTCTGAAGGCAAAGAGCTAAAACCTGAGGATGGAGCCTAAGCTTCTAGTCAAGGACATAGGATCAGTGAGTTGGAGAGAGAAGGAGGAAGAGACTTCAGTTCTTGTAATTCCACAGGGATTAAGGGAAGAGAAGTTTTCAAAAAGCTGGAAGTCACAAGGGGTAGATTCCTGGACACCTCTGCTTTTTTGCCTCCTTCTCTCAATCTTATTGACAAACTCCTATCTACCTTCCACACCCAGCGGTGTGTGTCTTCCTTCCATGAAGTCTGATCTAGGCTTTCTCCCTGCTTTGCACTAGTCTTGCTCCTTGGGTAAAGCCTCAGGTATAGCTGGTTGCATTTGTTTTTGCTTCTGAAGTCTTGACCTTGATGAAATGTAGAATATGGAACATTCAAACTACCATTTCCAAATGGCTATGATGAGAAGCTCAGGTGAAACTTCAGGTGAAACATGTCCCTGGGTACAAGGACAAGTCAGAGAGAAGATAGCGCCTAGATTGGGTTCATTTGGGGGGAATTTGCTGCTACTCCTTCACTTGCAGGCTTTTCTCTGCCTCCTTCTCCAGAAAGAAGGAAGAAAGGAATGGAGGAAGGAAGGAATGAAAGGATATAATGATGAGTAGTCAATCCTTCTTAGAGATTTGTTTAATGCCTGACTCTCCTGTCCCAGGAGCAGGTGAATAATGTATTTTCTTTGTTTTATTAGTGTGTATTAGTTATACAGACTAATGGGTTTCATTTGGCATATTCATACATGCATATAACATACTTTGATGATTTCCACCCCATTCCTCCTTGTCATTTTATCTTTTTTATGAGTTGAATTGTGTCCCCAAAAGATAGGTTGACATCCTAAGCCCCTGTATCTCAGAGTGAGACTTATTTGGAAATAATGTCATTGTGGATGTAATGAATTAAAATGAGGTCATACTGTAGTGGGATAGACCCTTAATCCCTCATGACTGGTATTTTTATAAGTAAAGGAGACAAGACATACAAGGAAAACACTATGTAATGACAGAAGCAGAAGTATCCATAAGCTGAGGGAAATTAAGTATACTCTGGATTATTGCCAGGCATTAGAATAGATGAGGAAGGATTCTTTCCAGGAGAGAACATGGAGGGAGAGCACGGCTCTGTTGACACCTTGATTTCATACTTTTAGCCTCTAGGACTATGAGAAGATAAATTTCTATAATCTTAAGTCACCTAGTTGGTGGTGCTTTGTTATGATAACCCTGGGAAACTAATTCACAGTTTACTCTTAGAAACTTTGGAAAATACATTGAACGACAAACTAACCACCCAGGTTACCATGGTCTCCCTTCTTAGTGTCTATCCTTTGAGTTTTAGACTGCAGGATCTCCTGTAGAGCTATTTCCTCCTTTGCAAAATTGAGCCTACCCTGTAGAGAGTTTTCACATTCAATTGGAAGACAGGCAAGAACAGGCATTGAAAGGAAACAATTCTCTATGGTAAATTTTTAGATATTGGAGCAACTTAGCAGGGAGAAGTTTTCTGAGAGTAACCTGCCTGTTTAAACAGAATGAAGGATAATGTGAGGTGAGAGAGAGAGAGAGAGAGAGAGAGAGAGAGAGAGAGAGAGAGAGAGAGAGAAGAATTGTAGTGAACAAGACTAACTTGCCTGAGGGTTGTCTCGATGGACTTTTCTGTTTGCCTGTTTCTGACTTTGGGGCTTCAGTTATCTTTCTCTCCCTCTTTTTGTTTGTCCTGGAATCAAGCCAAGATTCACTGTAACTGTAAACACAGCACCCAGATCCTCTCCAGTGTTGGTTTGTGCCACTGAATCCACCCTTATCCTAGCCCGAAGACTGAAGGCAAGTGATCCCATCTCCCCAGCAACCTGACCTCTCTTCTCTTTAACTTACAAAATGTTCCCAAGATACACAGATTTATGCTACTTTTTAGCATTCACTAGGGCTCTCAGAGCCTTGGTAATAGCTCTTTTCAGAATGTGTCAATTAGTGTATTTTAAATCTTTCCTGAAATAATGGAAATTTTAGAAATTTTTCTAGGAAGTGCAATAAAAATAAAATAGTAGCCTTCCTAATGTACTGTAGGTTTGATAGAGACAGTTTTCTAAAAGGTAAGTTTAATGGCATCAATTGGAGGACTTATGGAATGATTTTGTTATGAGAGCTCCCTGCCCTGTTTCACCTATGAGCCACACTGCTGGACCCATGATGTTGCCAGTGACCTTATTTGGCATCCATCTTTTGGCAGCAAAATCAATAGACCATGGTTGAACAAGTATTTGGGAAATACTGAACAAGTATGAAGTATTAAGAATCCTTGCTATGTGCCCAGGGGTTGTATGATGTGTTACATATAGGTAAGGACCCTTTTGTTTCAAAGACTTTGGTGCAGTCAATGGGAAAGGATATTGTAGACTTGAGTCTCCCCTTCAGTGATCAGAAAGTCTCCTACTGTGAATATCATCATGCTATGATAGGAAAATAGGTCCCATTTCCTGCTTATTCTGCTCTTTTCAGCTGCCAATTACAGGTGAGGCTGCTTCTGAGGCACGTGCTGAGCCTATTGTTCATTGTCTGTTTGAGATGTGGGCTCTGGAAAACCCCAGAGAAGCACTTACCAGGTCCTCTCGGGCCGGCCCCTTATTTTGGGTTTCATGAGGTGATGTCTCCACTATCTATTGGTGTTTTCCACTGCAAAAGAGAATGTGTGGACCAATCCATGGGGCAAATGACAGTGTTGACTGAACTGTACATGCATTTGTGTATGTATGCGTGTACCTACACACACGCGTGCACAAAACACGCTCTCAGAATATTAGAAAAATGTTAATGTACCCATTGTCTTTGTTTTGACTTTTACATAATCATTCAGTTGTTCTGAGATCTGCTGAGGCTAAGATCCTTGTATAAATAAATATATTTAGGCTTTAAAAGGGCCTATTTTTTTTTTCCTGGGCAGGAGCACGGCACATTGTGACATGCTTAACAAACCCTAGAATAACATGACTTTAAATTAGAAAGGGACACTTTAAACATTGCTAATGGGAATATAAAGTGGTGCATCCACATTGAGAAATAGTCTCAAAGGCTGAACATTATATTACAACATCATACAGCAATCCCACTTGTATATAACAAGAGAATCCAAGCCATACATCCATTCAAAACTTGCACATAAATGTTTGCAGCATCATATTAATAATATCCAAAAGATGGAAACAACGTAAATATTCATGGACTGATGAGTGAATAAATAAAATGCAGTCTATCTATACAATTAATATTTGACCAAAGAAGGGATGAAGTACAATGACGATGAACCTGGAAATGGTATGCTTAAATGAAAGGAGTCAGTCACAAAGCAGCACATATTCCATGGATCCATCTACATGAAATGTCTAGAACAGGAAAATCTATAAAGACAGAAAGTAGATCAATGGTTGCCAGGGCCTGGAGGAAGTGGAAATGTGCAGTGAATGCTAAGGGGCACAGGATTTCTTCTTGGGGTGATAAAAATGTTCTAAAATTGATTGTGGTGTTGACTGTGGTGAATGTAGTGAAAAGCATTGAATTGTGCACTTTAAATGGGTAAATTGTATGTTATGTGAATTGTAGCTCAATAAAACTGTTAACTAGCCAGCTAGATACAGATATTAGTATTGTCATCCCTCTACTCTGTGTGCCAGGACAAACTCTATACCTCCGAAAGACACAGGCTGCCTTTGCTTTGTAAATACTACATCCTGCATGAGTGCAGAACATCAGGTAGCCCCTGTACTTCTCTTGGAGAAGTACATAATTCTTTATTTACTTTAAATAGGAGGAGTAATGGTTTCACATGGAATGAGTAGAAATTAAACCCCATTTTTGTCTACATTAATAGCATGATTGCAACACTTTTATGAAATTTGAACACAGTTATAATTTAGGACCTAAATTACCTGCCTAGACTGTTTAGGCTGTCAACTCTAATAAACTTAACTAGCTTTAACAAGGTTGAAGAGTGTGGCAGCTGTATTTCTCATCAGTAGAGTACTGGAAGGAAAAATGGACTAATCATTGTACACATAGTGATCCATTAGGGTACATTTGCAAATCTATTTAAAACTGATTTTCAAAATCTTTCTCATTTTTTGGGCTCTTTCTTCTCGCTCAAGATTTTGTACAAATGGTATTTTGTATTATCAGCACCAACAAGGTGTAATTAGCTATCCATTTAATTCTAATTTGAATCTAAATCTTTCCATATCTGTAGTCTGCACTTTAGACTCCAGGCCCTAGAAGCAGCAGTATTTTTCCTGTGAGAATTAGGAACCTCAGAAAATGCTGTGAAGACATTGAATATCTATTGAGCATAAAGTTTTGGACCAGGAAAAGCTATTTCACTTAAGATGTCCTAAGGCTTTAGTGACCCAGAAGGAAAGCCCTGGCTGGGCAGTGTGTAGGCTCATTCAGCCTCCTTTTATGTACTAAATGCTAATGAATTCATCTGGAAGGATGCTAGTTTGCTCACTAGGATAGATTTTCCAGGGCATTGATGGCTCCAGGTGGCCTCTGCCAACACGTGTGAAGTACAAACTGTTCTTGTCTCTTCTTTCATAGCCTTCCAGCTTGCAGGGCAGTAGCAACTGCTCTGGTTCTCCTGGTTTTCTTATCACTTATTTTCAAAGCAAAACTGCTATCAGATCATTCTGCCTTGGCTGTACATTGTGTGTTTGCCAAAACAGACAGAGCTGACGTTCGCACCAACCCAGGCAAGCCTCCCTCCATTCTGACTTTCTGCATCCGTTTGTTCTGGAAATCAGATGCAGCTTGAGATGAGAAAAAATTGGGTCTGCTTCTCACTCAGTTACATCCATATGTAATTAGAAGGCACGAGGAAAGCATTTAATGTGTTGGGTCGGGGTTTATGGGCTTCTTTGCTGAGAGTTTGTATTCCTCCTACATGGGTGTAGACTCTTTTAAATAGCAATGATTGTGGGGTATAATGAACATTCTGCTTAGTGTTAGGGCAAGATAATAATAGTAGCTAATATACATTGAGCCATAGATAATTATATTGCTCTCCTCACTTAACCAAAAGGGAAACAGAGTCAGAGCCTGTTCAGGGACCCACAGCTGGGAAGTCAAGTGGGTATTAATTCAGAGCTTTCTTTTAACCATATTGCTACAGTGCCTTTGGGGGTGAATATGGGTAATATTCCTGGTTCATGGTCAGATTGAACTCTGATTTGCACTCAATATTGGGATGGGAGGTAATCTACAAATAGACAAGTTTCTGTTTAGATTTGATTCCAAATTTAATGGTGTATTTAATTACATGATACCAATATTAATATATGGCACTCTTTACTAAAGAGAGAAAGTTTGTGTTTTATGCAGGAAACTAGACTGGCACCCATAGCTCAGCACATTAATGTTGGTAGTTAGTAAAGCTCTCACTTAATTAAATGGGTCATTTGCCTTTGAAACCACTGTAAAATTAGAAGGACTGTCATCTCAATCTTCTTTTTAAAAAATTTTACAATTTAAATTAATTTATTTTTAACTGATAAATAAATTTAAAACGTACACATTAATGGGGTACTGTGATGTTTTGATACATGTATGTATTATGTATTGTTTAAATTAGGTTAAACATACCAATCTCCTCAAACATTTACCTTTTTTGTGGCAAAAACATTCAAAATCCTTTCTCCTAGCTTTTGGAAATGTGCAGTATGTTACTGTTTCTGTAGTCACCCTACTGTACAATAGCACACCAGAACTTTTTGCTTCTACTTAACTGTAATTTAGCACCTATTGATCAGCCTGTCTTACCCCTCCCTCCCCCACTCTCTCCATCCTCTGATAGCCACCATTCTCCTCTCTGCTGTTTTACCTTCCACATATGGGTGAGACCATGTAGTGTCTGTCTTTCTGTGCCTAACTTATTTCACTTAACACCATGATCTCCCTCTCTCCCTCTTTTGGTGTCAGTTTAGACACTGGCTGCAGTTCTTTAGAGATCTAGACATTTCAAATAGATTATTCACAAGAAGCATCAATACATAGAAGAAATTCCAAAGATCTGATGGGAATTTTGGTTATGTGACTTCTGTGTCTCCATCTAGGTACCTGTTGTGCTCTTACCAATGGGCAAGTATGAGCCTCCCGTCTAAGTGCATTAACAGACTGTGACCTGTTCCTCTCTTTCCATACAGATATTGTGTCTTACTGGTCTCCAGTGCATGAAGCTGCAATCCATGGACGTCTGTTCTATTTGAGAAACCTCATCAACCAGGTAACTCTTTGAAATAGAATGGTAAAATTAAGCACATCTTACTGCTACATCAAATTCAGGAAAAGGAAATTATAGACTGACAGTAAGATACAAATTTCTTCTTAAGTAAAATGAAGTGTATCGTATGTGAATAACCATTTCTTTCTTTGGAAGCTGATATAATGCCAGAGTTTAGTACAATTGTAAGCACATAGTAGGTGCTATGCTAAATATCTGTTAAATGAATAACCGGCAAGTTAGTGCATTAAAATTGCCTCCACTTTATTTAATAAATTATGTTTTTTTCACATTATCATGTAAAATAGTGATTTTTACCTGCAGCAGTTATGCCCCTCAGGAAACACTTTATAGTATCTGGAGCTATTGCTGGTTGTTAGGCCTGTCACACTGGGGTGGTGGAGATAATGACATCTAGTGGGTGGAAACTGCTAACTATCCTATAGCGCACAAGGCAGCCCTCCTCATCAAAAGGTATCCAGCCCCAGGGCTGGGGATTTAGCTCAGTGGTTCCGTCTCCTGCCTCACAAGTGCAAGGTCCTGAGTTCGATCTCCGATCCCAGGTAGCCCCCCCCCCAAAAAAGGAGAAAATAAAAAGTACCCAGCCCCAGTTTCCGTAGACTGAGGTTGAAAATGCCCGCTGTAAAATAAGTGCTTGAAAATATCTGTTTAAATATGTAGTCTTGTAATTTCAAAGACATTTTCAGTTCTGCTCAGTTCCCAGTTGACTGTGGCTCTGAACAGTTTCATTTTTGTTTCTCTGCTCCTCAGGTGTAATTCAATACATAGTTATTGGAATTTTGCTGGTTTTTAAATTACTGGAAACCTACACAAAGTCACTTTTAAGAAAGCAGCTTAAGGGCCGGGGATTTAGCTCAGTGGTTTCGTTGCCTGCTGCACAAGCACAAGGACCTGAGTTCGATCCCCGGTACCAAAAAAACAAATAAAACAAAACAAAACAAAAAAACCAAACAAACAAAAAAAGAAAGCAGCTTAAGTCATCATTCAAAATCTTAAAATCTGTTCTCTAAAGTGAATATATGTCCATTAAGTTAGGATTTCTTAGCTCCTTTGGTACTATTGACCTCATTGGCAGTCTGGGAAAGTCCAATGGACCCCTTTCCCAGAGTAAAGTTTTAAATCCATAAAACATAACACAGAGCAAACCTGTCAAAGTCTTAAAACAAGTGTGTGACATAATAATATATAGACTTTTAAATTAATTCATTAAAGAAAATCTAGTGGTGATTCCAGTAATAGCAAGCTAAAATATAGGGTGAGCCTGTATTTTGAGATATTGTAGATATCTGCAACAATCATAGTGCATTAAAATATATGATTTCTATTGATGACAGTCCTATAAACTACTTTTACTAATTAGATTTTTTATCAAGATTCTCAATTGAAGAACATGCAAAATTTTGAGTAGAGGTTAGTGAAAATAAAAATGCTTTTAAAAAACCAAATTTCATGGACCTATCTAGATTAAGGAAACTTGCTATAAGAAAATAGTTTGTAAAGAAAGTTTTTACTACCCAAGGCCACTATCTTAAGCTGTTTTTCATAGCAGCAGCCTATTATAAATGAAAATATAGATTATAACACATAACTCTAGGTAAAAGAAGTTAGACTGCATCTCAGATAAAATGAAATATTTACCCTATTTTGATAGGATGAAAAATGGTCATTGCAGCTTTTATACATAACTTGCTAAATTTGGACAGATGTTCACTTATATTCAATATTTATGTGTTTACTGAATGATCACCAGCAAGAGCCATGTCTTTCTCTAAGCTCTATCATATTATTCAAGTGATTTATTATATTGGAACCTTGATTTCTGCCTTTGTTAAATGAGCATTCTAATAACTACCTATATGTGTCACCTCATAACTCAGCAACAAACCAGCCCCAAACTCAGTGGAATAATACAGTAACCATGATTTCTTGCTAATGAGTGTTTCAGCCAGCTGATCTAAACTGGGCTTTCCTGGGTTCAGCTCCAAGCAGCAGGTTAGGTGTAGCTGCTGCACGTATCTTCCATCCTTCATGGACCACTGGTTATCTGAGACATTTTTTTTACTTGGCAAAAGGCAGAGAATAGCAGGGAAAGCTCAATCATATAAGAATATAGTACATTCAATCTTTGCTTATGGCACAACTACTAATATCTCATTGGTCAAAGCGAGTCACATGACCAAGTCCAAAGTCAAGGATCAAGGAAGTATATATTTTGTTAACTATGAGGTCATGGAAAGGGTCTGCATCCGTTACACTATACCATACGAGAGCAAAATTGAGACCCTAAATTCAATCTAAATGGGTTTGAAAGAATTAACTGAAGTGAGATAGGTAAATTATCTAATCCAGTTGGTCATCACAAATGGTATCTATTTTCTTATAATCTATATAGCACTGCAGATAAAGAAAAACATGTTGAAAAATTAAAAAATATTGAACTAAGATAAATAAGATAAAGCATTCAAGTGACTATAAGACAAAGAGAAAATTATTTTAAAATTCTCATTATGTCAAAGAAAGGAAAAACTGAATCTATTAGTAATTATTCTATATCATTGCTTCACATCAAAATAATCAAAGATTATTTTTAAAAGATGACAATATCTGGGCCTTACCTCAGACATTCTGATTTAGCCTCATGCATTTGATACTTTCTAAAAAACTACTTCAAAACCACTGAGTTCAAGGATAAGAAAGGGTCATTTTAATAGCTGTAGGACAGAGAGAGGCATTTGGCACAGTAGAAATATAGTATGGGAAAAGGAACAAAAAGATTGATAAGTTGGTTTTCTTTAAAATTGAGAACTTCGTCAAAAGACCATGCTAAAAAAGTTGAGGAGGCAAGCCACAGTCAATACTTGCAATTTTTTTTGCACTTCCAGGGATTGAACCCACTGAAAATATTTTCAATTGAAATATTTCTGGTTTAAAATAAATACAACAAAAGGCAACCCAATATAAAATAAGCAGGAGGCTTGGCCTGGCAATTCACAAAGAGCATATCTAAATATTCAATAAACATATTAAACTGTGTTTATTAGTATCATAATTGGAGTAATGTAAATTAAAAATACAAGATAGTATTACTTCTTCCCCTCAGTAGAATGATTATATTTGTAAAGATTGATAAGGATAATACCAAGTGCTGGCAAGGATCTGGAGCAAATGGAATTCTCTTGCATTGCTGATGTGAGTGCAAATTTGTACAAAACACTTCTGGAAATTGTTAAATAATATCTACTAAAGTTAAAAATATTTCCACTCTATAACTCAGCAATTCCATTTCTAGATATATGTGCAATAGATATGTATATATCTGTTTATAAAAAAACATAGACAGGTATATTCATACCAGCAAGCAAAAAAAAAAAAAAGAACACCTTTGAAAACAACCCAAATATCCATCAAAGTAAAATGGATAAATATATTATGGTGCTCTGTTCATTTTCTGTCTGCCAGGGGTGGCCTGTGAACATCAACACAGCAGATCAAGTGTCTCCACTCCATGAAGCCTGTCTTGGAGGTCATCCATCTTGTGCGAATATGTTATTAAGACATGGCGCTCAGGTAAATATGGCCCAAATAATATCTTAGAAACAAATAATATCTAAGAATGAAAAATGACTTTCTATCTTTTCTCTATAATTTCTAGCACTTACGATTTTTCTGATTTGAAGTATGAAGAATGGTGGTTTTCAGGAGTTGTTATGTACATAAAGCTTGTTGCTTTAGTGATAGGTGAAATACTGAATTTTTAGCTAGGAAATTGTATTTAGAATCTCTAGCATTTTCTTTATCAGACTAGATTAATAAATAGCTGTGAAATTTCTGTCTTCATTTCTATGAGTGGAGGGTAGTAAAGTAATGCAGAAACTACAAAATATTTATCTGGGATGTCTGGGGAGCCAGAAAATCTCTATGTGTCCCTCATCTTTTAGCAAGTAGCCTGGACTTGTTCACATGGTGGTAGCAGGGACTGCAAGAGCAGCGAAAGAGGGCAAATTCTCTTCTTGCACCATATTTTCTACTGTCTCATTGGCTAAAGCAAGTCACATGGGCAAGCCCAGATACAAATATTGGAAAAATAGACTTGATCTTGTGATGGGAAGACTTACAAAGCCATATCATAAGGGAATAGGCACAGGGGGATAGAAAGAATCTGTGACCATTTTTGCAAACTACAATAATATATTAAGTGTTAAGCACTAAGGTGGTTGGAAGCACAAAAGTGTTCCACCATTTAGTTCTCACCTGGAGAAAGGGAGTCAAAAGAAAGTTCCTATAAGAAATGATGTCTTGGGCTGGGGATTTAGCTCAGTGGTTTCACTGCCTGCTGCGCAAGCGCAAAGACCCGAGTTCGATCTCCGATACCAAAAAAAAAAAAAGAAAAGGAAAGAAAGAAATGATGTCTAAGCTGAAACTGAGGACCTGTTGGAGTTAGTCAGCAGAATGGTGGGTCAGGAAAAATTATAGGCTTTGAACCTACTGGGAAAGCAAATTCAAAGACCCGACAAGAAAGAGAGCAAATTTCTGTGACCCATTCCTTATGGCAGGAGAATAGAGTGAGCGAGAGGGTTCCAAACATAAGCAACCTTGTCCGTGCCAAAAAAGGGGCTTTGGCCTGAGATTAGTAGCGAGCCAGAGATGGCTGCATCATCAGATTTATATAGGAATTAGGGAAACTTATTCAAAAGTTACAAACAGGGTCAGGGCCAAGGTGAAGCAAAAAAGATACCTAGATTATACTCTACAAGAGGTGCTCACTCTAGGGTCCTCTGGCACTCATGTGACCCCAACAGTGAACACCTCCTTAAAGTTTGCACCCTGGGCATCTTTTATACCTCATTCGGGCCCTGACCTTGCTTAGAAATGGAATGTAAGAAGGAGTTCATTGCCTTTATAATGCCATCATTTGACAGATTCACCAAGGAATTTTTTAACAATATAGAAGAACATATCTGCATTTGAGTTTGCTCTTTACTATTTGATTGTAGCCCAAACACTAATGTTAGATGTCAACTTGTAAATTTTGGACTTCGAATATTAGAAAAGATAAACCCAAAGATGAGTTTCATGGCCTTATTAGGACATTGACCAGTTTTGTATCTATAAGCAAAAATATTTAAGCAGTCTATTGACTGACTGTATAAATTATCCCTTGAGCCAGCCTTACCATCTTACTGGTTCCCTTGTTAACAAATGAATTGAATAAAATATCTGGCATGTGTAATTCTACATTTCTATGAAAGCCAAGTTTAAAAAAAAATTTAAATTATATTCTAACAATTTTAGATCACTTTGGCTGCTATGAGGAGACTGGATTGGTCCAGAATGAAAGTTTAAAATAAAAAAGACAGTTTGTAAACTATGAAAATTACCCTAATTGGTTTCAAAGTTCATGTTCCTAGAGAGGGCAAGGAGGTAGAACCTTTCGTAACATTCTTGCTGCCTTACATTCAATACCTCATTCAGATTTTTCATAACAACCTTCTAGACTCTAGTATTTTTCTCCCCATTTTTATAGCTGTGGACTTTAAGGCTCAGACAAATTAAATAATACCTTTTAAGTGGCAGAGAGAGCTTATCTTGGAGCTTTTTCCCTAGGTGAATGCTGTGACCACGGACTGGCATACTCCCCTGTTTAGTGCCTGTATCAGTGGCAGCGTGGACTGTGTGAATCTGCTTCTGCAGCATGGGGCCAGCCCCCACTCAGAGAGTGATCTGGCATCTCCAATCCACGAGGCTGCTAAGAGAGGTAAATCTGTTGGGAATTTCTGATTTTCCACCCAGTCCTTTAAAGGATGCTTCACTGTTGAAAGAAGAGGGCAGGGGATGTATTTTAGGGTAGTTGTTCTCAAAGTGAGATCCTGGCACTAAAAGCATAAGCAGGGGAAATCCTGCCAATGGGGGCCTTTGGGGTCTCACTCCAGCACCACTGACTAACTCTTGGTTGGGGAGGGGGGTCCAACCATCTGTGTTTAGTTTAATAAGCCCTCCTGGTGATTCTGCTGCACAGGATGTTTGAGAATTTTCCTTTTAGAACATTTGCGATGTTCACCACTATATTTCAGGAACAGGGTCAGGAACACACAGTAGACTATCCATCAATATTTATGGAACCTATTGTTGAACCCATGACTCCATAAAAATAAAGGGATTTTATAATACAAATTATATTCTATTTTATGACCTTAAGAGTATCTTGGGGCCACCTAAGTTTGTTAAATGAAACAAATTTCAATTATGTTATATACAGTTTGAGGTAATTCTTTTCACAAAGCCACAGGTTTCCTGATATTCTTAATTCTGAGACAAATAGTGAAATTGCAAGTTTTGCATTTCTCTGATGTTGTCATCATCATTATGACTATACTTTGACAGAGGACTCTCTGTTTCCCCGGTAGCTTTCCAGAATGACCAATCCATATGATGATTATCTCCCCAAACACTTACATTTATTTAAGAGGCATCCCAACTCACCATATTCAGTGGATACATACAGCTAAAATGGCACAACCAGAAAAACCTGAGGGAGCATTGTTTCAAGTATGACATTCTGGTCCAAAGCAGAGTGATTCAGCTTTCACCAAATCTAGTTTTCCAGACTGGGTCCTGTTTCTATTTGGTTTGGCAGCTTCTCATAAGCCTTGCCTGTGCCAGGTGTGGCCTGCTGCTCCCAGGCCTACCCTTGGTGAGGTCAGAAGTTTCCTTCCCTGTCCTATGGCCCACACCATGCCCTTTCTTCTTCAAGTCCACTTTCAGTTCCTGTTCCTCCATTAACCACAAACAATTTAAAAATGTGGATGGTTGCTGGGTGCTTACCATGACTAATGAACTTAAGTACATCTTGGAGCCAACCCATTAACTGATGGCACTGTTTAAAATCATCCCCTGTTCTAAGTAAAGGAAATCATTTTTGATCCCTGGATATATTACTGACAAATTTAAACATGGGAAAAATGGGGACAATGTTGTTTCCCTAGCCAAGGGAACCTGTGCTGTAACTGGTTTCTCCTGTTTTGGGTGGCAGGTCATGTGGAGTGCATCGAGTCCCTTGTAGCTCATGGTGCCAACATTAACCATAACATCAGCCACCTGGGCACTCCCCTCTATGTGGCTTGTGAAAAACAGCAGCTGGCCTGTGCCAAGAAGCTTCTGGAGTCAGGTAAGACAAAAAACAGAGGAGGAGGGGACAAGGAAAGAAAATGGAAACAAACTTAAGTGTATTTTAAAGATATCTCTATTGTGGCAGAGGAAGGAGTGTGGGCAAGAAGCCGAGCAAAAGCAGAGTTTGTACTGTGTTCTCATGGGGGGTCATTTTACACTGCTTGAACTTTAGTTCTCTCATTCGTAAACAGAGTGATGATGATGATGATGATGATGATGATGATGATGATGATGATGATACCCCTCCCCTGGTGGTCCACAATGATTGTAGTTTCTCCTCCTTTTCCTCCTCCTCTTTCCTTCTGGCCAGTCATGATTAGGGCCTGCATAGCTTGCAAAGACGCTGGATTTGGGCAAAGTCTTCCTATTTGGGACTGTCTTCACTCTTTGATTTGGAAGTTGAATTTGTCCCATTTTAGCCCATTGTAAATACTTTGTTTTCCCTGTAAAGGCCTAGGTATTATCATTCTTTTTCACTTCGCTGCCATTGTCCAGCCCCCTTCTCAACACCTGGAACTCCATCTCACCACCTCTTTACTTATCTGAGTCCTTTTCATCCTTTAAGATTCCAGGCTATAGTATCCCTTCACAGTAGCCTGTCCTATGATGTATGGTGTATCTTTATTTATTTTCTCTTCTCCTTTTCCTACTTTTACTTGGCACAAGCAAGCAGAGCTCATTTTTTCCCTACCATTCTGTTTTTTTCTTACCTTTAATAAATGTGAGAGCTGGGGATTTAGCTCAGGGATTTGGCCACCTGCCTCGAAAGCGGAAGGACCCGAGTTCAATCCCTGATACCAAAAAAAAAAAAAAAAAAAAAAAAGTGAAACTTTGCCACTGTTTAAAAAAAATCCAGAAATCCCTCCCTGTACTAAATATTCTTGTAGTCCTTATTGCTTTCCATTCATTGACAGCCATTTCTGTGAATTAGGAGTTTCGTTCATATTCATTCATATGTCTCTGTCTCTGTCTCTCTCTGTTTCTCCCTCTCCTAAGACCTTGGTAGATTTTAAGCTCCTAGCCAGGAAAGAACCCTGTTTCACATCACTCATAAAATAAAAAATAATACAAGACCAATTTGGGCAACATTTGTTGAATAGACATAGATCCTAATTTTGCCGGAGGGACAGCAGCTCAGGAAAAGCTACACGTTCCAACATGTCACAGTAAGAACCAAGAACTGGGTTGGGGTGGAGACTTGTTGAGAGTGTAAGGGTGGCATTGGATAGGAGATGGTCTTAGGTCCACTCTCCTCTGGAAGAGAAGTCGGCCACTTTCTCTGTGATCTTGGGATTGGCCACCTAAAACTCAGAGATGCCCCCAAGAGTTGGTTGGTTTTCACAGTCTCAAATCTCAGTCTCAAGTCCCAGATTTTAAGCCCCATGGTGGCTGCTCAGAATAAGAATTTGGCGTTAGGTCTATACAGAATTTCACCATCTAGTTTCACTCTCAGTATTGGCTAACTCTTAGGCTCTGTTAATAATGCCTGTGAGAAGCTTTCATATCACCAGGATTTTTCTTCTATGTATCACGCCTATGGGTAACACTCAGTGGTGAACTGCTTAGCTTCATATGCCATCCAGGTCTTTTTTTTTTTCTTTTTTGGTACTGGGGATCCAACTTGGGTCCTTGAGCTTTCGAGGCAGGGGGTGGAACTACTGAGCTAAATCCCCAGCCCTGCCTTGCAGCTCTTGTGGTACATCCAGTCACATTGCCAAATGGCAGTTTCCTCATATATTAAATAGGACCAAATCATTTCCCATTTTCACAGAATTGCCATGTTCCCCGAGGGTCCCTTTCATTAAGGAAGTTTGATGTTCAGTGGCTGACCGACTTTTGTTCTTGTGCCTGTTTAGGAGCAAGTGTCAACCAAGGCAGAGATCTGGATTCTCCTCTTCATGCAGTGGCCAGGCTGTCCAATGGGGAGCTGGCCTGCCTGCTCATGGACTTCGGAGCAAACGCCCAGGCCAGGAATGCTGACGGCAAACGTCCTGTGGAACTGGTGCCTCCAGATAGCCCTTTGATCAATTTCTTCTTGCAGAGAGAAGGTGCTTCTCCTTTGCCCTAACCCTAAGCCCTAATCTGTAGAGATGCCTTCTGGCTCTAAGAGGAGGCAGGTACTCACTGAGTGCTGACTTCCAGACCTATAAAAGATCCGCTGTCTGCCACCACCAAGTGTGAGGAAGTTGAAACCATTTAGTATTTAACAGGATGCAGTATTGGTTATGTAGTAAATAGCCCTCCTGCTGTTTTGCATGCTGGAGATGGGTCGTTTGGGATGATCTAATATTCACATATGGGATAGACCAGTTTTCAAAGAATTAAAGTCTAATTTTAAAATTTCAAAATTAAAGTTCCCTAAAACATGCTTTGGAATGATGCAGTAGAAACCTCTTTGGCACTGCATGATGGCCTAGGGTGTATTATTGCGCTTAAGCTGTGCCAAAGCACTGGGAATTTGATCTCTGGCGTTAAAATGGAGGTAATTAAGAAGTTAGGGTACTTCTGTAATGATTCCCATTAATTCAGACACACTACTCTAAGTTAACCAAAATTAAGTCCACACTCCTGCATTAATAAGAACTGACACTCCTAAACCAAACAAATAAATATTGTGATTGAGTGGTATGTACAGGAGAAAGAGTATTTTCTTGGTGCATCGGGCAGGATGGGGAACAGCGACCCCCAGACTGGGGAGACACATGATTTCAATCTTAATTGCCCCTAGACTTAATTCAGTACCTACTCTAGAAAAAATCCTGTTAAGCTGTAGGGTTTGTGGAATTTTGAGATGAGTCCCCCTACCAGGGTTTTGATGTCATGTATTATAATTTGGTATTTTCTCCCCACTTGCTGAGAAGTATGGCTGGCTCTGGGCTGAATTGTAAAGTGGGCCGAGGAATTCTTCTTAGTCTTACTGCCTGAGCCAAACTCCTGTTATGGGGCAGACTAAGAAGAGGAAAGAGCCCATTGGAGACCCCTTTCCGTTAAACAGTGGGATCATTACTGGGCAGTTCTACCTGCATTTTGATGATTTCTTGTTTTCAAAAAATGCTATCTATACTAAGCTGATTTCTCCTACAGTGCCTCAGGGCTCATAGAAATGTCTCAAATTCTTTTAAGATCAGAAGAAAAAACTGAATAAAAAGCAACCTGGATTATATTCATCTTTATACAAACACAGTTGTAAAATATAATTTTTCATATTTTGTATTGGAGCAGGGATCAACACAGGCAACAGTGCCCAGGGGTTCCCCAAAAGTCACAGTGTAGGATGTATTTCTCCCCTTTCCCATCAAATAACCTCCTAAGATTTTCAAATTGCCTGCACTGGCTCTTCCCTTCTCTTTTAGTTCTCAAAGCCATTCCTAAAGATCTAGGTTATCTTGAATTCCTCTGCTTCTCATTTTGCATCGTGACAGTGTGACCAAGGATGCCATTGGCTTATAAAGTGCAATTTAGGGGGCTTGAGGTACTGCTCAGTAAAACACATGCTTAGTGTGTGTGAGACCCTAGGTACAATCCCCAGTACCAAAAAAAAAAAGAAAGAAAATAGATGAAATCAGTAAATGAAGTACAATTTGCCACTGGAGAGAAGCACTGCTTGTTTTTTTCCTCCATGAGTCATTTTTGGAATTCTGCTGAGGTCCCTTCTCAGTGGGTGGAAAGCCCACCAGCAATGGTGCCGGGCCAGAACAGGAAATCATACCTGCAGATTTAACCCATTTCTCTCTCTGAAGATTTAGCCCATCTGTTTCTCCGTGCTACTTAAGTAATCACCCCTTTCAGGGCTGACAGGAGAACATTCAGTGAAAGCCAGCCTTATTCTGAGTTAGGCTTTATATGGTAGTTAGGAAAAGCAAAGTTCTCCCTTCTTCGGAAGGAAGGGGAAATAATTTCAAGAATATTACCCTTCTTGGTAAGCATCTAAAGCCATGTTTGCTCATGGCACACAATGAAAACTGAAAATGACTCTGTTAGCCTAGCAGGACAGGAGCCTCTTACCACCAAAATACACTTTGGCTTTGAAGCTTCATAAATGTTGCTGGTGGGGTGTTGGGGGGGAGAAAGTGAGACACAAAGGAATGTGCCAATTTATAAATATACAGTTAGCTGACTAGCAACCTTCTTGAATGCTTGCATGTGCCAGCAAGTGGCTACAAAGTTGTAGTGGATTTCAGCTCTGTTTATATGGAATTAGAGCCATAGTTGTTATAAGTCATCCTACTTGTGGTAAACAGCAGCTATTCAATTAGCATCAGTATTACTTTGCACTTACTCTGATGTCCTGCCTTGCATAATTTTGTATCAGGCTTTCTCTCAAGTCTTGTTCATTATACCGCTTTGTCAGTACCTCTTAGTTACCCTGATGGTGTATCCTGCACATATGATTAATCACATTTTTCATCATTCTTTGGTTTGTGTCTCCACAGTGTACTTTTTGCACTGTATTAGTATAGGCTTTCAATGCTCTGGCTATAATTTGAAAAGTACCCGAAATTCTAACAGGACCCATCTTAGTTATTTTTCTCATTGTGGGGACAAAATACCTAACACTCACAAGTTAAAGGAGGAAAGGTTTATTTAGCTCACAGTTTGTAAAGGTTTTAGTCCATAGTTTGCTGGCTGTGAGGCGAGGTTTCATGGCAGAGGGGCATTGCAAAGGAGAAACAGTTCATGGTGTGGTGGGCAGAAGGCAGCAAGCAGCAGCAGTGAGCAAGCCTGCCTTCCTTCTGTCCCTTTATATTCCGTCCAGGCTAAAAACCTATTGATTGGTGCCATTCACACTCAGAGTGGGGCTTCTATTATCCACACTTAGAACTATGCTAAACTCACTCAGTTATGACACAATCTTAATCCCAGTATCACACATCCAAGATCCAGCCATTTCCCAAAAGTACCAGCTATGAGTGGATGAGGCTTCAGGGGGACATCTAGACACAAACCATAACAGGGCCCATTGGAAAGTGCATTAGGGTCTAATTTAAAATCTTGCATTCAACCACGAGTGATAGTGTATGCTTGTAATCCCAGTACTCTGGGAGGCTGAAACAGAAGGATTGAAAGTTTGAGCTCAGTCTGGGCAATTTAGTGACTTAGCAAGACCCTGTTTCAAAATAAAAGAATAAAAAAAGGGGAGAGATGTAGCTCAGTGTGAGGGCTCTGGATTCAATCTCCAGTACAGCAAAACAAAACAAAACCAAAAAACCTTGCATTCATTTCTTTGGCATTTGTCTATTTCCACCTCTCCTTGTTCTCTATCTCCTGAGAGATATCATTTTACCCTGTAGCTTGTGGTCAGGCTATAGGAAAATGGAGTCCATGGTATCCTTTTGGTTGTATTCTCAACTGTGGTCACACAATAAAACGACCAGGAACCTATGTCTTTTTAAAAATCCATATACACCAGTCCCAGCCAACAGTAACTGAAGCAACATCGCTGGAGTAGGGCCCAATATCGTGTGGTTCAAAGTTCTCCCATCCTAGACAATTCTGAAGTATAGCTGAGGTTAAGGACCACTCAAGAGTTCCAAAGAGAATTTCTATTGCAGTTTGATGCAGGGAGTGAGGGTGGAGGTAGGAAATCATTCCCTATTCTTTAATCCTATAACAGGGGTTCTCAACCTCAGCACTACAGGCAGTTTGGGCCAGTTGAGGTCTGTTCTATGCACTGTAGCATGTTTATCAGCATGGCCTCTATCCACGAGATGATGGTAGCGGCACTTTCTCCAAGTTATGATAATTAAATATCTCCAAAACATGTCTCCAGATATTTCCCAGTGTCCTCTGGGAAGCAAAGTACTTCTTCTTTCTTTCCTCCCCGAGTCTCTCCCCGGTGGAGATCAACAAATGTGGAGGCCCTAAATGTAAGCTCTTGAATATATCCTGTGAAAGGTTTATATTAATTCCTTTTTACCTATGAGTTGACGTTTTCATATACTTCTGCATATGAATACGAAAGGAAATATGACTTAATAAGATAGTATACACTTATGATTCACAGCTATCTTATTATATTGGAATATTTTTAAAATTGCTAAAATTATGAAATGAACATGCTCATGTCCAGAACTATGATCTTAGTTTTAAGGTAAAAGACACAAGAATGCCATGAAACATAAATTTTAGTTTCATTATTAGATTTGTTGTGTGGCTGTGTAATTCCCAGTTAGTTTCCTTAAGGCTCTGTTAGTGAGGCTAAGCTTTAAATTTCTTTAACTCTGTTCTAAATTAAAACCCAGTGAGCTTATTTCAGTTAGACACCAGAAAAGAGAGAAAATAATCTAAAAATGTCTGCCACAAAAAAAAACCCAAAATGGAAAATGGTCTTAAACAGTACCACATTATTTCCTTATAGCAATGTTATATCTTGTATGCTTTTTTAAAAAGGGAAGGAAAAGCGGTCTTAGATCAATGAAACCAGTGTGAGACTTGTCTTATGATTTTTCTCCAGGGCCCGCTTCTTTGATGGAGTTATGCCGCTTGAGAATCCGGCAGTGCTTTGGAATCCAGCAACATCATAAGATATCTGAGCTCATCCTTCCAGAGACACTAAAACAGTTTCTCCTACATGTTAATTGTGTCGAAGGAATGGATTTACAAGCAAGAGCAAAACATAATTGAATGTTGTGGTCACTGGAACTGAAAATAAACTTAAGCTCACAGATCTTGGATAGTTTTTTTCCATTAGATTTTTGTTTGTAATTGAAACACATTGGGTGCTTTATGGGATATATTAGAAAGCATAAAGACTTTCCTGTCCCATTAGAAGAGAGTGTCTAAAATTAAATAACTACTATTTTGAATATCGAATACATGTAAAGCACTAAGCAAAGAACACTTTATGCATCATCTAATTTAGCCCTCACAGCAAACCTAGCAGGTGGGTACTTTCCCCAGGTAATATGCTGAAACTCAGGAAGATCAAATTGTTCAATTACTCAGAACAAGGAGAGACGAGCTAGATTCAAACAGGTTTTCTGATGTTAACCCCAGGAAGTTTCAACTGAGGCAGAATTTTCCAACATTACTGTCCTGGCTTCGTATTTATAACATGGGAAGAAAGACAAGGAAGAAAGATATGTCTTTTGTTTACACTTATTTTCTTTTTTTTATTCATTAAGTTTATTGGCACATTTTAGGTATACAATATAATGACATTCATCATCGGGAATTTGTACCTTTATATGGTATATCTTGATTCTTATTTTTTTCCCATTTCCCTGCCCTCCCTTCAACCCCTCCACCCCTCCCTATTTACAAAGACTTTTTTTTTCCATTTTTTCCTTTTCTCATTTTTATTCCTTTCCCTTCTTTCCTTCCCCGTACCCCTCCCACTTCCCCTTCCCCTTTGGACCTTTTCTTCCTATTTCACATTATCTAGTATACATTTTGATCCTTATTTACAGTTTCAGTATCACATACCAGAGAAAGTATTTGGTATTTACACATGTGTGTCCTATGTATTTCACTTAAGAGTATCACATCAATGTGCTATAAATTTAGCTATAAATGTCCCTAGTTTCTCATTCTTTATGGCTAAGTAGTACTCCATTTTCTAAAAAAAACCACACACACACACATATTCAGTCTCCAGTTGATGGGCAATTGGGCTGTTTACAAGTTTTAGCTATTACAAACTTACACCTGTTTTCTTTTACCTTCCCTGTTCTTATGATGAAGCTACTACTGTCCTAGTATAGGGGCAAGTTCTTCTTCTGAACTAAAATGCCACATTCTACAACTGAGTTGTCCAATACAATAGCTGCTAGTCTAGTAGTGTTCAACGGTGGATGATTTCTGCCCTCTCATCCACAGGATGAGAATGTTAGGCAATGTTTGGTGACAGTTTGCATTGTCACAACCTAGGGGCCATATCATATGAGGCTCTACCTAGCAGGCAGAGGTCAAGGGTGCTGGTAACGTCCTACAATGCACAGGATGGCCTCTCATACATGTCAAAGAATCACTCAGTTCAAAACATAAGTAGTGTTGAGGTGAGAAACCCTGCACCATCTGTATGTGGCTAATTCCAAATTAATTAAATTTAATATAAAAATAATTAAAGTCATGTAGAAATTAAAAAATCTACTTCCTCAGTGCCATTAGCAACATTTCGAATGCTTAATAATCAGACATAGATAGTGACTACCGTATTGGGCTGCATTGCAGAAATTTTTATTGGAGAGAGCTCTTTAGATGCTCAATGAATGGATTTTAACTTCTTTTCATTCTCAGATTTACTGGAAACCTGTGATGTAGTTTTAGTATTGATGGCTGCAGTTTCAGTGATTTCTTTCAGAGATCAGTTTGGGGTTCAATTACAGCAATAGAAAAAAGAAAATGTTTTAACCACTTAAGGCAAATCCTTACTTACAGAATAATATATGGCCTAGATGACCTCTGAAGATATTCCAATATAATTTTTCTGTGATTCTAAATTAATTTGGTATATGGAAAAAAAATCCTAAAATAGTCTTCTAACATGCCCAACTAGTTCTCCCATGAGATGGCGCTGTTGTCACATATATTAACTTTAGCAAAAGAGTTTCTCCTCATAAATGACCCATCATAAAATGGTTTACAGCAGAGGCTCTGGAAATTTCCATTCAGGAATGAAAACTTTGTGGTGATAGAGTGCAGCGACACTGGGTTTCCTTCTCTTCCAATATACCTAATAATTCAAATGTAACTAAGGAGCTTACCTCCTCCTGTTTGTTTTCTTCCTAATTTGATCATGATTATATTTACTGCTCAGAATTTAGGCAGCTGATGAATGCCGGTATCCTGCCACTTGCTTAGTAATTTATTTTATTAATTCATTGAATTCATTTATTTAGGAATTATCTAATGAGTGCCTGTGTCTGTACCAAAGCAAAAAGGTAGTAACAGTGAAAGAGATAGGTAAAGATGCTTCACTTTCTAAATCTTATACCCTGGCTCAGGAATCTTTCTTTTGCCAAAGGGTGAAGAGTTGTAGGCATTTTGCTACAGTTTTTTTTCTAATCAGTTAAAAAATAGCCTGGTTTCACATATAAAATGCATCAGACAGACTCTTGCTTATGTTAAATCTTCCTTCAGCCAAATCCACTGAGTTCAATCCAAGATTGTAACAGAATTACTAGAACAGCATTTTTTATTCTAAAATATTCCAGGCAATTAACCAATTTGTAAATCCATATAGCAGATAGTCATCCTCACAAATGGAAAAAATACTACCACCACCTCCCTCATTGCAGTTTTAATTTCAAATTACCTCACTTAGCAATGCTCAGAAGATTCTATCTAAATAGGATATTTTCATGAGTCCAGATGTGGTTATATTTATAAGTGGTATATACTTTTGAATGCTTTATCACCCCGGTGCAGCACAACCTCATAAATTCTATCATCAAAGCTGGTTAAGTGACATTTAATAGACCCCACCTTCATGAACGATGGGTATAAACTTAGCCTCATTAAACCATCTTTAAAAAATAACAATCATTTTGTTGGTTTTTAGGCTGCTGCAAACTTACATATTTTTGTAGACTAATCTAATATTGCCCTTTTGCTTTTTTTCCTTGTTTTTCTTTGGTAGAAACCCTGGCTAATTGGTGCATGTTGCTAGCACAATTCATGTTACGATGAAAGAAGAAAGCAAGAGGAAGGGACCAGGAAAGAAATTTTTTATTCTGGGTTTGAAATGGGCTGACTGACATGGTCTCATGCTTCATATACCAGGCTGGAGTCGTCTGTCATTAAACAGCCACTAATCACTCAGAAACTGAGGGACCAAGTTATGTTCAGCTGTCTACTCTGGGCCACAGGGCTGGGCCTTTATAATGTGATAAAAACCCAGCATCAGGGCTTCAATATATAAGATCAGGTCAGCATGAAAAGTGACTAAATAACAACTTCCATTTTATAGGCCTTGCTAAAAGCTAGGCATTATGCACTCGTGATTTATAAGGAGCCTACCAATTCTTATCCTTATTTCACAGATGCATTAGTGATTTGTAAGCATCCTCACAATTCTTATTTCACAGATGGTGCAGAGGGGCTAAGAAAATTGCAAGAAGTCCCACAGTGGGGGGGGCAGGGGGTAGAGCCAGAGTTCACTGTAGAAGCCAGACTCTTAGTCTTTACATGTTCTGCCTTCTCTTTTCTTCAGTCAGTCCCAGAGCTCTGGTCTCCAGGTCCTAAAATACCCCTGCCTAATTTCCTAGTAGGTTTTGGAACACAAGAGTCTGTAGGTCAAAAGTCCAAATGTGACCGGGAGGCTTTTGCCACACTTGGGCTTGGATGTTACATAGCCCGTTCCCTGATCACATAGGCCAATTTAAAGGACCCCAAACTTGCTGCCTCTTGCGGTAAGTGAGCGAGCCTTGTCCTGCCAGTGATGCTGGTGGGCACAGAACGATGCTGTGGGTTTTTTTTGAACATAGAGTATTTTGGATGGACTTTTTCAGTGACAAAATCTTTCCCTGCAATGTAGAAGAGTGGAGGAAAAGCTGCCTGGGCTTTGGACAAAATTGGCTTTTCATTTAGTAGTTGTGTTATATGTTTGTTTTTGTCTTTTTTCCCTTGTTCTTTCCAGCTATAATAGTATTGTATTGGTGCATAACAAATTATCCAAACTTTCTTGCCTTAAAACAATACAAGTTGATTGTGTAATCGTCAGAATTTTAGGCACAGGTGGCTAGATTCTCTATTCAGGGTCTCACAGGGTTGAAACTAAGGTGTTGACCAGGACGATGGTAGTGTTATCTGGGGCAAACAGATATTTTTCCAAGCTCATTAGTTGTTGGGATAAATTCTTGCAGATGTAGGAATGAGACTGTTGTTTTCCTGTTAGCTGTCAGCCAGGGGCTGCTCTCAGAATCTAGAGACCACCCAGTTCCACGTGGGCAGCCTCCATAGGAAGTTCCCAGCATGGATGTTTATTTTCTCCCAGAACAGTACAGTGTTTCTCCTGGACTTCCTATCGTGTGACTAGCCACACAAAGCTCTCTGCTTCCAATTGACTTGCCTGATTAGGTCAGGCCTACCTTGATGATATACTGACTTTAAATTCATCTAATTTGGAACCTTCATTACATCTGCAAAATCCCTTTAAAGGAGAACCTAGATTAGTGTTTGAATAACAGGCAGAAGTATGAGGTGTGACCAACAGTGCAGTTAAATTTTAATAAGTTTATTACAGTGAAAGACTATTAATTAATGGCAAGAGATTGCCATTAATCTCTCCTAAAATATTTCCCCTCACTTTGAACACATTTATTCCATCGTTTGTGCCACTTTCTGAAGCAGTTTTGAAAGTTCTCTTTTGTGAGTGCATTTGGTTGCATTGCCATGGCTACCTCGATGTCTTGAATCAATTCAAAATGATTATCTTTCACAGTCATTTTGATTTTAGAAGCAGCTAGAAGTCTCATGGTGCCAGGTCCAGTTAATATGATAAATGAGGACTCACCATAATGTTTTTATTTGACAGAAATTGCCTAAATGTTTACTCAACATGGGGTGATCAAACAATATAGTGAATATTTAAAAATTTATTATAGTAAAAGTCACATTGCCATTAACTCTACTCAAAATACTCCCCCTCACTTTGAACACACTTATTCCATCGTTCTTGACAATGTGTCATTTACTGTAATAAGTTTTTAAAAAAT